GAATTATATTACCAACCTTCCGGTTTCTTCTCTATCTAACATATTTAAATATGCTAATGGTGTTGTCCTTTGTCGGCTTATTTTTAACTCGCCATATTTCAGGAAGTTCGATGTGAACCTATCTCACATATAAAGTTTCTATTCCCAGTTGGGTATGACGCTGGATCCACCTATATATATATATATATATATATATATATATATATATATATATATATATATATATATATATATATATATATATATATATATATATATATATATATATATATATTCAATCCTAATCGCTCACGCTTTCCTACAGATCCTCTTACACTAAATTCGAAACCCCTACCCAGAGTTGGTTCCACGAAGTACCTGGGTGTAAGTCTGGACACTATTCTAAGATGGAAACCCCATATCCAGTGCCGTGTTGGTAAATTGCGGTGCCTATCATTTCAAACTAGAAAACAGGCGGTTTCGAACACCACCAACGAGTGTTTCCGAATTCACTCTTCAGTATGCTCTTCCGGTCTTATTGTATTGTTCACTCGTAATTCTTCCTGGCCTTGTGAAATAAGATTCAAAAGCCGTTCTTCGCCGATTGGTAATTATTAGCCACGCTTCATCCCTCCCCTTTGATATTCGTATCAACTAATATACTGAATCTTGCGTAGCCCTAGCCCTCAAGATGTTACAGGTCCCAAAGCATCCATAACACCTTGGCCTGTCGCTTTTCTGTTCTCACCGATCCATCAGATCTAAATTTGGGCACCTTTCTGGCAGAATTGATTAATGTAAAATCTCTCCTATGCCCTACCTGGTGCGGGTGCTGACCAAAATGGACCAGAATAAAACGAAACTACTTTCTGAATTTGGTATTTTCTTTTTCGGTGTTACCTACCTTCAGCGTCCATTATTGAATTTTTTATTTTTTCCCAATTTCGTCAAAGCGTTTTGACTGAAGTGCACGCACGTTGCTTCCAAAAGCGTCATACAAGTGCAAGCTAGCCAAGCGGATCAGTGAATAAGTCAGCGGCTAACATTTATTTGAACGGACCAGAGCCGAAGCAACCGGACCATTGGGCTGGATGGACGGTCAGAAATATCAATGGGTCACGTACTTTCGTGCTAGGTTCTGTTAATGATAAGCACATATCTCGTGTTACCGATCTGTTTTACACCAATAAACGGAGATAGTTTGGTGCCTGAAGAGTCTTCTTACTAGAACTAATGGGCAGATACGGAGTAGAAACAAGCAATGCTGCCTAGAGGCACGAATGAGTTACGAATGACGTCATCTAGCAGAAAATCGTGATTGTAAACAAAATAGTGTTAGATTCCATCTTGACTATTTTGTGTTGTCTAGGACAAGTACTAACAGTTTAGTTCTTCCAGCCATAAAACTCGCATTTCTGTGTTCTGGGTTCGTTTCCTACCTTCCGCCATACTCTTCATGCATTGTCGAAATTCGAATGAAATCGTAGCTTTTGGAATTAATGTCCTCGATATAAAACGGTACAACCCGATACAAAGTTTTTGTCAGTTTGAAGTGAGTGCTTCAAATTATTTTAACGGTATTTAGAAAAATCGCCAACAAATTCAAATCAAGTATTTAATGCAGCAGTTGTTCTAACTGAACCTTTTAAATTTCCATGGTTTTTTATTTCAGAGGCACACAACAAACAAATTAGTATGTCCACGACAATAAGATTAACATTACCGTAGGAGGCATAATCTAACACATTACCTGGCAGAGAAATAGTTCTGGAAAAAAATATAATCTGAGAGACTGAAAAAATGTATTGTTTCATCCCGGTGAGTTCCTGACTGTTCATTGTATCGTAGATAATATTCCCAAACTAAGATGATCTGGATGTATTCCAGCTCATATCAACCGGCATAATGAGTTCCACAACCTTAAAGTCACTGCAACGAGTTTCTTTTAAATTTCACATTATGTATCACATTTTTAAGCAATCTCATTTCACTACAGAACACGGAAAACAAGTCTAAGACCAAAACGGATCATGAAGAGTGACTGTCTTTTTTGGGCACAGTGCTGCCTTTTGATTGATCAAAAAGGTAAGCAGCCCACTTTGCTTCATCTTTCTTCGTAATAGCGTGTGTGAGTTTACATAGAAGTACGTTCTTTTTCATTAAACCCAGGAGGCACTGCTATCCAAGTTCATTAATTTGCTTTTTTGCCCACCTCATCTTGTTGCAACACCATTTTAAAAAACAATGCAAAAAACGCTTATTCGTTTGTCGGAAGGTCCTAAGCAAAATATTTTGCAGAAGAAAATGCGTGATTATAAATTTATCACCCTTACTTACAACTGTGGTAAAAATGTCCTGTCATGAATGTGCATTACGAAAACAATCTGGACGTTCAACGGATCACGCTCATATGGCCTTGATTTCAAGTTAATGTATTCCAAAAAGTCAACAGCTTTTCTCTCGTGAGCAGAGTTGCTAATGAACCGTCAGATGAAACTGTTTTCCGTGATTGTATTGCTTTTGCTTTTTTATAATAAGCTGAAATGTAATCGACTATTCCACAAGAGGAATTGTTTCTGGCAGGATCAGTGTTTAGGTCCTCGTGGGGAAAACCATGTGATTTGCATTCGCCTGTGATCTGGATTTAAGAAAGGCTACCCATGATAACCAAAACACCGGATGACTACCATCATTTCCGACGACGCGGTGCAACCAAACTATAAACACTTACGTATAACAAATCACATTGAGCATCTTTTTTCGATAAACTTCCTACTGATTTCGGCTGCGATACGTTAACTATTTCATACACTCCACATAGTTTACCGATTCTGTTATGACGAATTGCATTCCGAAGACGTTGATCCTGTTTTCATATGCTTATCTCGTCAAATTGCGGTGCTAAGTTGCTACATTTTAGAAACTCAACGTCTGCGCTTCCAGTGTGGTGTCGAAATTTAAATTTAAGTGCACAAGAAGTGTCTGCTGAACCTTTAAATATGGTAGCGTTACATCACTGGATCGTTATGTCATGTCGCGCTGCGCTCACTTCGGAGGTTATTAGCTTGATGTGACCAAACACAGGTATTCGCGGAAATGGGTTGATTCGAATGCTTCCGCGCGCGTTCCGGTACGTTAAACAGCAAGTCAGGCGAAGACGGACCTTGACAGTCCGATCACACTAATACAGAAAAGTCGATTCAAAATTGTTCAGTACGTTATCTGCCAGAAACTGCATACCTACTTTTACATGTTGTGTCGTCACCCCATGTGTCATTGGCACTCGCACGTGATTCATCCTGGTCCCTTTGGCCTTGCGCTCGCGTGCGCGATGCCTATCTATCCCACGCTGTGCTTTGTTCCATTTTACCAATCACATGCGGTCAGGTACGCGTGTGACTGACATTGATTCGTTGTTCCTGTCCCTTTAACACATTATTATGCTTGCGATTGCCACGGGATGATTCACTTGTTTGCCCGCTTTTCTACTCACGCGCGCGTTTACCGACGTGCTAATAAACGGATCTATTGCGTGTTGTGTTCTATGAATTCTGAACACAACACATGTAAAAGTTTGCCACAACCATTTATTACAGAATATATTCCTGCTAATCTTGTCTGGTCTTGGGCAGTTCATAGTACGAGTAGTCTGGACGCGAGCTACTCAGTTACGTACGATTGACCAGGACGATACAATTCCCGCAGGAAAGAAACATAATTTTAAAAATTGGGTGTTTTATGTAACGTGTCCGGCGGTGGTCAGATGTTCATTATGGTGAACTTTAGATTCTTCTGCGCTGGGTTCGAGTTCTGCAGCCTCCGCTGCCGCCACCAGTCACTTTTTCCATTTGGCAGTCTCTAACTGGCAGTGATCTTTTTCTTGAAATATGGTGAGGTTGTTACATAGTAAAAATGAAGTTAATAAATAAAACTGGGTTCTATGTTTGATGGCCATTTTGATGGATAGTGCACTCATTCTTTGAGCTCGTTAAATATGACGAGCATTTCCATGCAGAAGTAATTTAGGCATCTCATACTTGTCCTTTCAAGACAGAATACTCTCGAAGGTAAGAAAATCCAGTGTTTCCGGCTGCGAGTAATGTTACTGATCTTCTTTGAGACACCGTTATTTCGACGAAATCTTTTATTTGGAACCCTACCAAGGGAAATCTTACTACCGAATGATATATTAAAGCATGACCGTTATTTTTGTCCAATGGTGAACAAATTCTGATATGAAGTTTAATTTAAGGCATCATCTGAATGAAAATGGCTAAACTCGTTAGTTAATTTTTCAAAGCTCGCTACAAGTCAGCATCGATAATGACGCCAAAAATGCTGCAGAGGAACTATGAATACACTAAAATTGATGGGGAAATGAGTGATGGATCCAGATTTCGATGATGATTTGAATGTATCTGGTTTTGAAATACAGAATGTGGACGACCACGATGTTGGAGAAAAAAGCCAACGAATGCTGTTATGCGGTAGACTACTTTTTCGTTTACAATGAAATATCTAATAGCGCGTGAGAACGTCGATGGCGATTTCGATGATGACGCTATGAACTATAAATCTGAGGGTGATCGGTCCAAGCAAAGCTGTTGTGGTTCATGGATCTTGAAAGATAACAGATGCAACATTTTGTGCGATCTTTTTATGGAGTCGTCTAACAGTTACATAGAAAGGCATTTGCAAACCTAGTTTCATCCCATCGGTAATCCCAAAACAGGTTCGGTGATGAGATATGGTACATCTTTTTGATGGAACAATTATTTCAAAATCTAATCAGACATATCTGTGTTATCCACTCAAAGAAAGCGGTCATACTACTGTGGAATTAGAAGGAAAGTTTGAGTCGTCAGTCACCGATTCCTGCATATTGATTACGATTTTCGTGAGCAGTGTTAGTCATCCAGACAGAAATAAACGAATGTGAGCCGCAAGATAAGTTCACAATGAAAACTCATCGAATAAGCGCAAAGATTTGACGTGAAAAACGAATATCAATCAACTTGATGTTAGACATGGAGTTCTTCAAACTCAGAGTCAACTTCCTGCTCGTCGTATGCTTCTAGGATACCCGAATTTTCGGAGCCTTCCAATCGATGGTGAGGTGGATTAAGAAAGCTTGACGTTTTTGATGAATGTTGTACATTGAAGTGTGAGGGAGATTTGAATATCTTGCAGAGCAAATGCTCATCCGATGTTTCTATCCGATTTTGATTTTTCGAAGGTGAATATGCATCTGAATGAAAACCATCGTTGTTGCGGGATGTATCGTCGCGAACTGTCTTGGCCATAAGACCGGCATGACCACAATACACGGAAGAAGTATTCTGATGAAAATAATTAAGCAGAGTACATATATATATATACATATATATATATATATATATATATATATATATATATATATATATATATATATATATATATATATATAAACACTGTCAGGTTGGTTCTAACTTGTCCACTCAATTAATAACGCAATTGGAATTTCAGTTTTATCCAAATAGGCGTCTCATTTTTGACAGGTACCGGCAAATAAAGTTACTGATCGATGTTCTTTAAAGTCAAAGTTACTCGTTACCTAAACAAAAGGGTTCGCTATCCGCCACTGAGGAGGTAGGTAGGTTGCATCAATGTCACACGACTCACTACCACGTCTGATCAAGTGCTGTTTTGCACGATTCACTTGTCCGATTCGATGTTAAAACAACCAGCCACCTATATAATTGCAGCGAAAGTTCACCATCGTAGGTCCTACCGTCTTTACGGCACTTATGGGCAGAGTGGAATACTCGGCTGACACGCGAGGATTTACGAATGAATTCATCCAATTAATTTGCTTTTTGATTACACCATTTTTTTATATACTGTCGTACGTATTACGAAGATAATGGCTAATTTTCTGTACATTTTTATCGTTACGACTAGCCCACAGGATCTATTTAAAAGTCGGAAAATTCCGTCTAGTGCTGTCATTTTATTTCAATCTTCAATTAACTGGAGGCTACTTTTTATTCCAGCTGATCTTCCAAACAGGAATAATCATTGAACTATAAATGTAACGATCATAATCGTCTAATTCGTACACTCTGGATTCTTTTCCATTTATGTACGCATTTTGGTAATGGTTTGCGGTGATGGAATAACATTCAAACCCAACGAACCTCATGAATATGAATAGGTTCAAAGCTTCACTAAAGACGGCCCTATTAGGAAATCCCCGGGGGTTCAAAGGTCCGGTCTACACGGACTGTGTGTAGCAATTTCTGTATTTTTGTTCAAGTATGAATATCTTGAGTCGACGTGACTCCGATATGAGTGTCACTCCGATCGAATCCATAGTTTCACTGACTCTGCCCAGAGTTGGTAAAATTCTCAAATGCTTAAATATTGATAACACAACGCAAATATTTGAAACTTGACGCAAATAATAAACTGATGGGAAAGTTTCGCACTCGTCAGCCAAATGCCTATGAAACTTCAAATGAGCATATTCACAAACAACCTGGGTTACGGCGAGAAACGTTTGCAGGTCTGCTCTTGTTGGTAATCTTATATTCCGTCCGAAATGGAGTTCTGCAGGACTATATCGTTATGAAGTGAGTCAGACCAAACTTGCCAACTGATTAGAGATGGTTAATGTCAACCAGGTTGTTTGTGCCATTTTTCTATTAGAGAATGATCTTGGCTTGTGTTGGCAGAATCACATATAGCTAGCCTCTTTAGACCTCCAGTTTCTTGAAGTAGAAATAGACACATGAAGATCATCAGTGTTAATCCTTGAGTCGGTTAAGTGAATTTCTAAGTCTTTTGATCATAGTGTCGGAGAATCAATAATGGAGGTGTGTGAGTGTATCACATCGCTGTCTAACACTGTATCAGGAGACGTCTTTAAAGCAGTGCACAGGGTAGAGAAGATCACTTTGGTTACCGGTGCCATTGCTGGGGAAAATCACCAAATCCCCAAAGATTGAACCGCTGAACTTTTATCAAGGAAATGTGTTTACCAGGCAATCTGATACTTCCAATTTATAAGTTTCCAGTTAATTTTGAAAAGTCTTCAAGCAATATAATGAGCGCTTTAGCTCACCTAACATCGGTTTGATTGATACTATTTTTCCATTTTTTGCACTAGTTTAAAAAACAAATTTCGCTCCCGCCCAAGAACAATCATCTCAATGGTAGCGCATTTTATGCATTTAGATGTGTCTTGCTTGCTACTAAAGACATCAGTCTCGTATTGCATATATTATTCTCCTCCTGCATCCTGGCGGTCTAGCTTCCAAATCACGCACTGTTTCCTATTATCATTCTGAGATAACAGTCCTAATGTCGTGAGGTTTGGGACTGGAGATCCAACCCTGCAGTCATTGTGTACCCACGTTTATTACTATGATATTAGTATTTGTGTTTGTCCTGTGAACATTTGCGTTACCTGAATATTCCATCTATGAGGACACTGTGCTTATCTGTGCTTATGCCTGAATAAGCTCGCACTTACCTGCAAGTGGAGACAGTCTATGGATATCGCAATTGTGTATCACTTGTGAGGTTTATGTGGGCAACCCATCGGTTATCAACAAGGAGTACCTAATTGCCGTGACAATTTCATGGAACTTCTACATATATTTATGAAAATCTTGTGACACGAATAAATTTCTTTTAGATATTGTACCTCAGGAATTTAAATATACAATACCGGACAAATGAGATTATATGCACTGCTACGGCAAGCAGCGAACGAGCAAGTTTGCAATGAATTCGGTAGCGTGATAACATGTAAATGCCTGAAGTGATACATCGAAAAACTTTCTTCGTGTTACAATTATTTTTACAAGTTGGTGGGCATATTCTATGACATGTATTCATGTTAATTTGCGGTAGAAGCAGTATGAACACATTCAAAATGATGTCTCTGATTACCAGGACTCCCCTCGTAAGCCGCTCTTTCATACAGTTCAACCTGTCTTGACAGACTTGAAACGACTATCGTCACGCGTTATCCGTTTCTTGTTGAACATCTTAGCATAGAGACGGTGAGAGAGATTCTACAATGAACGAGTACGTGTTCGTCATTAAAAACCTACTGGGTCTATTTAACCTGCAAATACACTGACGAATGGGCATTGTACCACGTAGCATTGACATTAATCACAATATCTCCGGCTATTGTGGTAGTATGGATATAGAAACGGCTGAAATTTCAAGTCTAATATATTGGATCTGTTTTCTGGCAAAGGCGACTTTTTGAGTAGACAAGAACAAGAATGTTTTATTCCCCTACGGTTGTCTTCCAACAACTCAAGAATTTGCCATAATTTTCTGTGGTGTGTCTAGTATGTCTGCTGATCTCGAACTTCGATGTAGCTTTGTCTGATCGGATGCTGTCAATCGCTGGAGGATTTCTCATACCAAACCAAAAACAAAGCAAAGTCATCTGAGGGTTTGCTTTCATTACCCTCAGACAGCTCCGCTACCAGAAGAAGAAAAAAAGTATTCATTGACCGATTACCTTCCTCATGAATGGCAGATTGCACAAGGGCAATGGGTTTTGGGCATCTCAAACCACAAGAATTACACAGGATTGCTCACTTCAAGCCATAGATGAGATATCAATCAGAATATCATATTCTGATGAACGGAGTCCAAGGTTTGGTTTGAGCTGTCTACTTGGTCGGTGAAATTCGGGCACAGTAATGACTGATTCAAACAGACGTGTTATTTATAGACAGTCGTTATTTTTTTTGTCTAAGTCTACGTTAGAAACAAAGGCTTAGAATGAGAACGCTACACTTTTTCCCCTAACAGAGTAGGTAAGCCTTGGAAATGTCCATCCATTGCCTATCACAAAAACAAAAACAAAGCAATTTAACCTGCACGGTTAGATACGAATGCTAACCAGAATCGTGAGGCTACTAATATCGGGATACTGTTTAGTGATCCCAGTGGTTTTCACCTGTAATCTACCATCTACAGTTGTCTTATCTTCACTCGATAGTGCCCATTCTTCACGACTTGATAATGTAAAACCACAGTCCGCTCTCTTCCAGAATAATAAGCCGTGTTGTAGCCAAGCTTGTGTAACATTTCAGTCCGCCATGCCCTGATATTTGTTCAGTCTGCGCTTTTATTCGTATACATTCAGTGACACTGAAATATATATTTAGCATTTTATTCGGGGTTGGACCCAGACGTGCTAGCCTTCGCAAGAATATTTTTCCAGCGGGTTTAGATATTCCTGAATAGTAGTAGTTATTGATAGGGTCATGTCGGTAAAATGACTGATCGGCAGAAAAAATCCTTCATTTGTTAAAGAAAAAGAACAGGGGTACAAGTGGTTATTGTGTAGCATAGGAATAAAATGTGAAGCCTGGGTAATAACGTTGTTTACCTGACACTTACCAGATCAGGTCTGTGAGATACAACTACTCCGCAGTTTAACTAACTGCGTAGCCATGTTCTGAATGCGTTTTCAACATTCAAAACTGCTTGATACTGCTGCAGTACTGGGTTGAATCTGCAGCAAACCTTGCGGTATAACGGTACAGTTTTTATTATCCATGAAGCTGCACTTCACCAGAGATATAACTCGGATGAAGTGTCGGTGAGTATACAGACGGCGTGGTGGGCTTTTGCCAAACCTAGTCCTCTGAAAAGTTAGCGTGACATCCATCTGTTCCCTGAAGTTTGAGTATACACGGCATTAATGGCTTCAGCACCATCTAATTGGAAGGATTGGCCCCCCAAACCAGTTGCAGCTACTGGTTTTGTACAACAACCGAGTACAAGGACGAAGACCCCCTGTAGTCATCGTGTTTTACGCTAATAAAACGGGATAGTCTGAAGCCAAGACAGTATTCTTATTAGAGCTAGCGGAGTGAATCAAAGCAGTCGGTATTCGAAGACCAAAGTAAAGAAAAATTTGTCGAATCTGATAGCGACACTTTATCGGAGCTGCTGAGGCTGGTTGCAGATTTTTAGAAAGGTCGCTTTAGTCCTGCTGGATGGGGCCAAAAAGGTCCCACTCATTGGATACTTATATTGGGTGATGTAGCTAGGTTTTGTGACCGGGGAACTCGTGCATTCGCACACTTTCTTGATCTGATAGATTCCAGTGTTCGTAGTTTTCGTTTTACTTTTTTCATACCGTTCATTTTTTGAGCTCCGATGCAAGTTATGGTTGAGTGTTAGAAACCAGAACCGTGGCGCCCAGTGCATAGTGCATGGTTGTTCGAACTTACCCGAACTGATGCTTCCGTGTTCCTCCAATACAAGCATAATTCGCCTCCAGCGGTTTTAAGGACTAACGATATCGCATAACAAACCA